ATTTAGTCACAATGTACCCAAATTATGTACTAATGTAACTAAATAATTTGAAAATCAATTTTACCAAATCTAATAAATACCCGGTGATACAAATCCGACCACATCAAACTATGTTTGAGCCCCTTACAGATAACAACCTTTATTCGTCAAGTTTAAAAGGGTAATCTGGAAGGTATCTGCGGATATCTGCAAGTATCCGTCGATATTACTGATATCCGGTAGGTATCCGATGTTGTGCCATTTCGTTATTTAGTTAGTACATACCTTACGTACGTACGTACGTACCATTATTTTTATTTTATTTTGTTTTGTTTTAGGGATCATTTTGGTGGGTTTTTATGTGATGAAGCATTAAAATATGCCCAGACGTACCATCTGGGGTGGTTTAAATACAATGATATACAACATGATTTTTGCGAATTTATATATCTGAGTAACAATAGCTATGACCGATTAATAGATGAGTTCTCAGGTTATCCGTGAATCGCGGATATTCGCGATTTTGATTGGCCAACGGTGACGATCAAAAAATTTAACTAATGAAATCGCGGTTAATTTTATCTGGAATTAAAAAATTAAAATAATTCCGGCCAAAATTATGTATAATGCGGGACAGAATTTTGTCGATCAACCGTGCATTTTTTGTGCGGTCTTTTTCGATTTTTAACAGCCCTACCTTGTTTAATGCGTTGAAATTGCGTCGCTTGTGACCCAGGGTTACATGAAAAGAGTATAACCTTGAATATTTTTATGCATTACGGGGATACAGTCTCCAACTAATCAATATAATTAATTTGATTAGTTTAGAGCTGTATAATTCAGTAATCGGAAATTTTACTTTACTAAAAATATTCAAAATTATGCTCTCCTCATGTAACCCTGAGTCACAAGCGACGCAATTTCAACGCGCTAAACAAGGTTGAAATCGAAAAAGACCTCTGCTGTGGTACCTAGGTTTAATTGAAACAATCTGCCGATCCGTAGGGTTATCCGGTTATAGTTATCCGCAAATTAAAAACTAGTAATTATCCGGATATAGTTTTTTATGGCCTAATTATACGTAAAAAATTGCATATATATATGGCAAAAAAAATCACAACGAAGTGTGTGTGGTCAAATTCGAGGTATGCCCCAATTATATGGGCTAGGTACTGAGAAAAGGGATCTTCGTATGATAAATTTTATAATAATACAACTATTAAGTAAAAAATAGATCTAATCTTATTTTAAAATTGACTTATCGTTATGTAAAAAAATTGTCCCTTTTCCTAGCCCATATATATCTTGAATGGCAAAAGATAAATAAAAATTGTGATTATTGCGAATTTATCTTACATTAAATTCACGTTGATTGGTTGAAATTCTCATATTTTGTTCAACAAGACCCAACGTTCAAAGAACCCAAAATAGTTTTCAAGAATCCAAAATAGGCATAACTTTTACTACGTAGTAAGAATTGCCAAAGGACCACTACCCTAGAATTTATTGGCCACGCTCTATCACGTGTATAACAAAATTTTTTTACCAACGTTAGCATTTTTAGTGATCTTGGGCAAAATTAACATATGGGCGGATTTTTACTATTTGGACCCCTCACAATAATTGACGTTAATTACACTTTTCATAACGATAAGCATGAACGCCCTAAAACAAAGACATCAAGCCACGGATCCGCAAGGAAGAGAACAGGTCGAATTTTTAGACGAACATGGTATTATCCACGTACAAACTCCTATTGTCTGTCTGTCGACTTTCAGCTAATTCTTAATCAATACATTTTATAATGCTAAAAGAACAGGAGAATTTAATTGAGGAATTTCGTACACAAAATGACCGAGCCAATAATCTTTTCAAGGTTGTTTTTTTTTTTTTTTACATAGACTGTTTATTTATTGTATAATTTTAGATGTGTAGTTTTGACTTAGGTAAAATTTTCGTATTTGAAACAATAATTTAGAAAGTATTGGTGTTCTTTTCATTGTTGATAATGATCTTGTAAGCTAATTATTACTGTATTACGATCTGTAAGTTGTTTATATTTAATTCTCTCTTACTCAAACTTTTATTCCTTTGATCCAGATACATAATCTTCTTTTACGGATTGATGAGAAATTCGATCTCTCCGTTAATACCTCTACCGATCTCTGAAAAGATTTACTCACATACACCATATCCAATGATATCAACGATACTATCAATTAGTTCCCTCCTATTCTCCATATACATTTTACAATCCCAAATTGTTACAATCGTTCATCTTTATTGTGGAGTTTTTCTATCACTTGTTTCTGTGATTATGGCAATTGGCACGGAGCAAATGGAACAATTGTGGTGGGGAATACCATTTGGATTGCTTATCGTAGACATAATTGCCTTGTACATTATCAAAGATTCAGAACAAGATATAAATGGTCTAGAAAAATTAAAATATAAGTATAAAGGGGCATAGATGTATTACAGTAGTAATATAGTTTGCATTAACATAAATTTCGCCCATGAATTAAATGCTGTAAATATTTTGTATGTTTTACTATTAGTATTTTAAATTGCTAAGAAATTTTATTTAACCATCGAAATCGTATTTTTGTTTGTTTTCCCAGTACGCCTGACCATAATTAACGAATATTTGTTCGTGAGCCTAAAAGTGATATATGCCAGAATTTAGTAATTTTAGTAACGTGACCACAAATAATTCTTGCTAAACGAATAAAAATTAATATTCACCTTAATATCGTCTTGAGCTACGTAGAGCACATACCAAATGTCATCATGAACCACATAAAGTTGGTCACCATTATGTTTTGCTATTCAAAATTAAAATATTGAGTTCAAATCGTTTAAATCATAATTTAATAAATATGCAAATTAAAGAATCATGCTTACTGTCACGATGATTAGCGAATCGCATATAATTTCCCATATTTTTGCCATCAACACAAACTCTCACTTTTTCGCCATCATCATCCAAAACATCCACAAGAAAATTGAATTCCCAAGCTATATATTTTTTAGGAGTATAAGTAATAAAATAAGACTTTTATGGTGCTATAATTGTTAACATACCATACTCAACATCATAAAGTTGACGCGTTAATAATCCTAATAGTTAAAATTTATGAAACTTAGTAATTTTTTTTTTTTTTTGTTCGGTTAATATAGATATAAACGCATACAAACCAGTGTAGATCCCTAAAAGATCAGTTGTTTTGAAAGAACGACCAGCAAACATGCCCCATCTTACGATGTCATTAACCCAACGAATATATACTCGTCCATCATCAACATATGTTCCATTCCCGACCTTATATTTTGCGTCATCTATCAAAGGAGCATACTTCTCTGACTGTGAAAGAATATTTGAAACTAACTCTTGATCAATTTCAGTATTGTTTAATAATCTGAATCTAAGATTATGCCTTGCAAGATAATCAGCAATATCCGAATCAATAACCTAGTCGCAATTAAAGATTACAATTTTTGTCATTCATATTTAAGCGCACAAACGAATAAGTATAAAGCTACAACATACCGGAAAATCTAATGGCTTTACTTTAAATTCCTTTTCAAATTCGTCCATATATATATGACGGTAAACGAAAGCACCATTATCTAACGAAAGATAACTTTCAGCGTTTTTATGATCAGGAATAGAGATCCACGAGATTTTGTCTTCACATCCATTATTTAATACTTGACAAGTAACTTGCTGCCTATACTTGTCCCAAGTAACCCCTATAGATATAAGTAGTATGAATAAGGATATAACCGCAATAGGACTAACATTGAGTGTAATTTCTCGAGATTCGAAAAGCTTGTTGGTTAAATTTTTTGACTCTTTCATCTTTTTTTGCGCTTGGCCGTTTTGACTGTTAGAGTCCATAGAGTTCATAGAGTTCGAATTTTTTTTTCCCATGTTTGTTCTGAGGTGTGGCAATGTATATATCGGGCTTTATATATTTGGGTCAGCGATACGCTAATTTTGTTTCTTTTCCTGATTTGTCATGCTGATCTGGATTTTAAATCATTTTGTTTTTTAAGGACCAAATTAAAATTGATTTAAGTTAGCATATTTAAACGATGATCGGCAAGGTGCATAATCAACCCTCATTAATTTCCCAATTCTGCTCTAGTACGTAACGGTAACTAACAGTAACGGTAAATTATATGCGTAAAAACAAATAAAAATTCCTAACGTACAAGTACGTATAATTATGATTTGAATTTTCAAAACTATATACATAGTTTCACTTTTACTAAGCGCACCTATGGTGTTTTACCACCTATGTTGTATTATCTCAAAAACTGGCTAATTAATCGATGTGAGGTGTTCTAGGTAAAAATGCTCTACGCCCCAAAAACCCTTCCCAAACCCTAATCCTAACCTTAATATTAACTTTAACGTGAAAAAATTGATGTTAAA